ATTTCAACAGAAAGCTTATGTACCATAGACCCCCTTCACGCGCACTCACACACACACACACATATGGTATGGACGAAAATTGATCGAGAAAATAGACCTACAATACAATAACTTTTATCATGGTTACTGTCAAACGTTAATGTCCTGTCATAATCATATTGACTATAAACTGTTCCATTTTTTTTCTCTTTCTTGAACGGGGTCATGTAAGATAACAAGCCAGAAATTTTATTCTTATCATACCATAGCCAGACATCGTAAAATCTCTATTCCAAGTTCAGCTTTTTTTCGGCCAAATGTTCTTATTTATGATGTGCTCTATGCTTTTGGTTAAAAGTAAAACCATCCGGTGTTTGATTGATCCCTCTCTACATTACATTCCACTTTATTATAACGGCATTTTTTTTTCTCGAAATGATAGAGTTTAATACTTTGTTGGGCTAGTTGTAAAGAGATAAGCCATGAAGTCTCTTTTACTTCGTAAATTATACTTTATCCCAAACTGAATAACAAAGAAGATATGATTCATGGAGTGTGCAGATTTGAAAGGAGTTTTGCACTCCTTTTAAACAATGTACATATTTTCCTTTTAAGATTGAATTATAGATAATAAAATACGATAACCCTTTTCCGAGATGCAACAAACCTCATGTAAGCGGGAAATAATCAAGTTCAGAAGGCCGTGAGCTGCTTCCATTGGTATTTGACAAAGGGAAAAGCCGCAAAGCTTCTTTAAGTTCGTGAATTTTACCTTGTCCCAAACTGATTAACTCTTAAGCTGCCCCCATGCAATTCACCCAGTGCCACAGTGCTAATCCCTATTGTGCCCGCTACTAATCTCCTGTGTGCCAAGTTAATTTAGGGTTGGTTCAAGTGCGTGTAGTTTAAATTGTTACTATGTTTGATCCACTATAACATCTCATCTGTATATTGTATAAAAAATAATTGTACGTTAAAGTTGTAGGATATCTAATCCTCTTTCTGTTGATACCAATATCATTTCATGAATCTGTAATTTTGGTAAAGTAAATAAGCACTATCAGTGAGTTGTCAAACCAATCCGTTGTCTCATTTCCCGCACACAATCTGAGGGGCCATGATCAAAACTGACAAATTTTGATGATAAAATATCGCAATTTTCTCAGGAAAATCCAATGTAACGGTATATGTGAAGCACGCAAAATCAAAACAACAATAAACCCCCTCCACAAAATACAGTAAGCATTCATGCGTGCACACAATGCGCATCGCACAATAGGCATAAACAATTAGCTTGTGTACTTATGCACGAAAATGTGTCCGTGGCACGCGAGCGGATGAGAGTTTATGTGTGCATGGCAAGTCAACAGAAACCCGATCATGTGTGCGTGGCACGCCAGCGCATGCACAGAAAAGTGTTCTTGGCACGATAAGAGTTAACAAATAAGATATGATTCATGGAGTGTGCACATGATGAATGGTACCCCCTTCAGTGTTTGAAGCGATGCCAAAATAAGGCACCACATAATCAAAAGGGGAATCGAGACAAAAATTAATTCTTAGAATACCAGGCAGAATAATTAATGTATGGGATTTACATTACTTGCAGGTCTGACTGAACGACGGTGCTTTAATGGCACAGTATGGGTTAATCACATCCAAACAGTCAAGCACAAAACACTATATCTAAAATAGATTTGAAAGGAGTTTTGCACTCCTTCTAAACAATGTACATATTTTCCTTTCATGATGGAATTACAGATGATAAAGTACGATAACCATTTACCGAGATGCAACATACGTCATGTAAGCGGGAAATGATCAAGTCAACAAGGCTGTAAGCTGCTCCCATTGGTATTTTACAAAGGGAAAAGACGTGTGTCATTTTGAACAATTCAAAATTGAAAAGTATCTGCAAAATCCTCATTAACTACAAGACTTAGCAATTTTTAGCACAAAGTTTTCCCAAATGAACGTACGTAACTATATTGACCATCAAATTTGAAGAAGATGACTAATGCAGTAGTTTTTAATATGGTTAAAATGGTCCATGAATTTTCAAACTTGTTTATTTTATTGTATATGCATTTAGACTTTTAATCGAGGCAATGTCGTAATAACCTCAATTGTATCATATATGAAATTAAAGTAACCGAATTGAAATATGCTGTTTCATGGCTGCAAGAAGCCAGGGTTCAGATGTCAAATTAGTATAAAAGAAACACATATTCAGTCAAGCAAAGAATATTTTCATTCCAATGTAAACTATTTAAGCGTGTCTCCAAAACGTCGTACTGAAATGGAAGTGGTTTACGGGTCATGCTATTCCATAACCCATGTGTAAACAACAAATCCGTTTTATGAGATTTGCTGTAGCTGGACCACTGCCACTAAATACAACATTTCCGAAACATTTTTTAAAAACCCTTCCCCCGAAATGGGGGAGACATAGTCACAGTTATTGGAACTTGTGAAAATCATGATGGGGTGCTCCAAATTTATAAATGTATATTCAACGGCAAGGGTTGCCCTGATTCCTACAAAGGATACTTAAAATGACTTAAAATTAATTTTCAAAAGTCTTTGAAATGGTGTAAAACTAAAAGGAAGAAAAATTCCTTAATCATCATACAAACTGAAACACTACAGAGTACAGAAGTACTTACCAATTCCACTCAGTACTCAAAATTCCTTTGAACTGTCTGCATTACAACATGCCCAAACACTATATACTGGCCAAAATTAGGTGGAAAATAAGTTTTCGGCTCAATATTTTTCTTTTACACAATACATAATTCAATTTCATTGATATCAACTTGAGGGTAATTTAATTATCCATCTTATGACACCAAACCCATAGGGTTTTGAGATTTTACTTAAAAGTTGTCTTTCAAACTCGCGTTAAAAATACTAAAGGCATCCGCAATACAGAAATACACGTAAATGCATAGTTCCTGCACATACGGGCAAAAATGTAGTTTTGTGAAAATCAAATTAATAACTTTAGGATACTATAACCTTTTTTTACTGAAAATAGATATAAGCTTCTCCTTCGCACAAGATATTGTCCTCGTACATGATCAAATACCTAGAAATTTACACAAAAATGCATTATTCTTATTTTGATATATGGAAAATAACGTTTATTTGATAAAAATCCATTTTTTTGGGGGGGGGGGAATTACCCAAATTCATGATTTGTAATCAAAATTGTGATGTTTAATAAAGCCAATTCCGTTGAAATTGGTAACAAAATGTAGACAATTTAATTTCTTCCATTTGATATTTAACATCCCCCCCCCCACGGCACTAATGTCCTTTGCCAAGACATTAATCAACATATTGCCACACTCAACCCAGGTGAGGTAAAGGGGTATCTGGTAGGATTATTCCTTGACATGCACTGTGCGCTGATAACGGCTAAAGCTATAGGGTAATAATTTCCAAGACTTTTTGGAAGCGCATAAAGACGTTATTTGTTAATGCATTTTGCGCTATACAAGAAATGATTATTATTAATATTATTATCATAAACACATGGTGGTTCAAGGTTTCTTTAAAATATTATTGACACGATTTTTTTCCCGTCAAAATGGCCGCTTTTGGGGGGCAAATTGATGCTTCTTTATTAAGTTACGAATAGTGTCATAAAACATATAAACATATTGGGCAAGACAATTTAAATGTTTCTACGTAGTTTCACGTGAATGTATGTCTCCTTCGGAAGACGTACAGAACAACGTTTTCACCCTTTATTTAAGAGTAAAAGGGAAGTGAGTCACAAAATGTGCTCGTTCTATATTTATTGAAATCTTGATGGCGGCTGAATTGTTGATGCGAAAAAGAAAAAAGAGAGAGAATCCAATCAATGGAAGAGGAATGACAGGCATTTGAATTACGTTGAACATTTGCATTGCTATTCAGTTCACTGCACAGGACTTCAGAACTTATTGCGAACGACAAAAATTTGAAGGAAAAAAGGACTAATCAATGTAGTGTATAGTACGCTTGTAACACGCATAATGCAGCGGACTATCTGCAACGAAAGCCGTTTAGATTCTTAATCATTGCATTTCGAAGAGTAACGAGAGAAGTAGAAGATTAAAATACACTGTGTTAGATTATGATGTCTGGTAAACCGGTGTTTCTTCAAGTATGGAGGACATACAGCTTCGTGAGGCAGAATTGAGGGAAAAATCAAATGCATAAAAAACGGATAGAACAAGATAAACACGTTCCTAGTAGGATTGAAGTAAGGCAATTCCGTTCGTAGTACGTCCATCTCGTTTTAAGTTTGTTGTCACTCAGTCTTATAGCAGGACGGGTACATTTTCGAACTGGCTCAAAATTCTAGAGCACCCTTCCCGTCCAAGCCATTCTGAGCCCGTCCATGAGTTCTCAAACAGATCTTAAACAGTTGCTTCTACGTTTTTTTCCGTTCGCACACAGATTCAGACCGTTTGGCAACATTTTTCAGAACGTAGTGAGAACGAGTTTGGTGTGATAGAGGCTTCACTTGAATGTCTTGATCTGCCCAGCTTTAAGCGTTGAAGTTGAGCGGGAATTAGGAATGGCAAGAACGCGCTGGGTTTTTGTATAGCCCTCGAGCCAGGACGGGATTGCCCACGCTCTAGGAGCGCGTTTGAATGCACTAAGAACGAGATGAGGACAAGTTGAATTGTCTTTAAACGGGGTGGTCGGGTTACAAGCTAGTTAGAACACGTTGCGAACTAGTAAGAATGGGTTTGGAAATATTTGGAACGAGGTAGAACTGGTTAATAATGGGTTTAAACTGACTACGAACTGGCTTGGACTGACTGAAAACTGTAGCAAATTTACCCGATCTGAACCTGAAATGAACTGACTGTGGACGGAGTGCAGACGAGAATGACGTATTGAGGACTGTTTATGAACGAACAAGGATCGTATTATAGACATTATTTACACATTTTACCCCTACCACAACCCGTTTACGATTTTCTAGGACGATATCAGAACGTATTGAGAACTAGTTTGGTGTGATGGGGGCTTTACAAAGTGCGGTGAGGGAAGACCATAGAACTGTCACTGAGTATCCCATCAACCAAGGTGCGGATGTGAAGCAGGCGACTCCATATGGGCGAACATCAATCGTACGTCATAAAGCGACTAAAGTTATACCCATCCATGGAGCTAATGTTGTAAGAAAAGACAAGGACGGCTACTCTGCATTGCACAGTGCTGCTCAGAAGGGTCATCTTGATGTCACCAAACAGCTCATCAGTAAAGGAGCTGAGGTGGATAAGGGAGATAATGAGGGTAGGACTGCATTACAAATTGCTGCTTTCATTGGTCATCTTGATGTCACCAAATATCTCATCGGTCAAGGAGCAGAGGTTAATAATGGAGATAATGAGGGTAGGACTGCATTACACAGTGCTGCTCAGGAGGGTCATCTTGATGTCACCAAATATCTCATCGGTAAAGGAGCTGAGGTAGATAAGGGAGATAATGAGGGTAGGACTGCTTTACACAGTGCTGCTCAGGAGGGTCATCTTGATGTCAACCAATATCTCATCGGTAAAGGAGCTGAGGTAGATAAGGGAGATAATGAGGGTAGGACTGCTTTACACAGTGCTACTCAGGAGGGTCATCTTGAAGTCACCAAATATCTCATCGGTAAAGGAGCTGAGATGGATAAGGGAGATAATGAGGGTAGGACTGCATTACAAATTGCTGCTTTCATTGGTCATCTTGATGTCACCAAATATCTCAACGGTAAAGGAGCTGAGGTGGATAAGGGAGATAATGAGGGTAGGACTGCGTTACACAGTGCTGCTCAGGAGGGTCATCTTGATGTCAACAAATATCTCATCGATAAAGAAGCTGAGGTGGATAAGGGAGATAATGAGGGTAGGACTGCATTACAAATTGCTGCTTTCATTGGTCATCTTGATGTCACCAAATATCTCATCGGTAAAGGAGCTGAGGTGAATAAGGGAGATTATGAGGGTAGGACTGCATTGCAAATTGCTGCTTTCATTGGTCATCTTGATGTCACCAAATATCTCAACGGTAAAGGAGCTGAGGTGGATAAGGGAGATAATGAGGGTAGGACTGCTTTACACAGTGCTGCTCAGGAGGGTCATCTTGATGTCAACAAATATCTCATCGATAAAGGAGCTGAGGTGGATAAGAGAGATAATGAGGGTAGGACTGCATTACAAATTGCTGCTTTCGTTGGTCATCTTGATGTCACCAAATATCTCATCGGTAAAGGAGCTGAGGTGAATAAGGGAGATAATGAGGGTAGGACTGCATTACAAATTGCTGCTTTCATTGGTCATCTTGATGTCACCAAATATCTTATCGGTAAAGGAGCTGAGGTGGATAAGGGAGATAATGAGGGTAGGACTGCGTTACACAGTGCTGCTCAGAAGGGTCATCTTGATGTCACCAAATATCTCATCGATAAAGGAGCTGAGGTGGATAAGGGAGATAATGAGGGTAGGACTGCATTACACAGTGCTGCTCAGGAGGGTCATCTTGAAGTCATCAAATATCTCATCGGTAAAGGAGCTGAAGTGAATAAGGGAGATAATGAGGGTAGGACTGCATTACGCAATGCTGCTGAAGAGGGTCATCTTGATATCACCAAATATCTCAATGGTAAAGGAGCTGAGGTGAAAAAGGGAGATAATGAGGGTAGGACTGCATTACACAGTGCAGCTCAGGAGGGTCATCTTGATGTCACCAAATATCTTATCGTTAAAGGAGCTAAGGTTGATGAGGGAGATAATAAAGGTAGGACTGCTTTACGCAGTGCTGCTGAGCAGGGTCATCTAGATGTCACCAAATATCTCATCGGTAAAGGAGCTGATATGAATAAGAGAGATAATGAGGATAGGACTGCATTACGAAGTTCTGTTCAGGGGGGTCATCTTGATGTCACCAAATATCTCATCAGCCAAGGAGCTGATGTAAATGAGATAGACAATGAGGATATTAGAGAATTAGGCAGTGCTGCTGAGGAGGGTCATCTTGATGTCACCAATTATCTCATTGGTCAAGGAGCTGAGGTAGATAAGGGATTAATTGAGGGTTGGACTGCATTACACAGTGCTGCTTGCAATGGTCATCTTGATGTCATCAAATATCTCATCGGTAAAGGAGCTGAGGTGAATAAGGGAGATAATGAGGGTTGGACTGCATTAATCTGTGCTGCTTTCATTGGTCGTCTTGATGTAACAAAATATCTCATCGGTAAAGGAGCTGAGGTGGATAAAGGAGATAATGAGGGTAGGACTGCATTATGCAGTGCTGCTCAGGAGGGTCATCTTGATGTCACCAAATATCTCATCGGTACAGGAGCTGAGGTGAATAAGGGAGATAATGAGGGTAGGACTGCATTACAAATTGCTGCTTTCGATGGTCATCTTGATGTCACCAAATATCTCATCAGTCAAGGAGCTGAGGTGAATAAGGGATTAATTGAGGGTTGGACTCCATTACACAGTGCTGCTTGCAATGGTCATATTAATGTCACCAAATGTCTCATCGGTAACGGAGCTGAGGTGAATAAGGGAGATAATGAGGGTAGGACGGCATTACAAAGTGCTGCTTTCAATGATCATCCTGAGGTCACAAAATATCTCATCGGTCAAGGAGCTGAGGTGAATAAGGAAGATAATAAGGGCAGAACTGCATTACGCGGTGCTTCTCAGAAGGGCTATCTTGATGTCACCAAACATCTCATCGGTAACGGAGCTAAGGTGAATTATGGAGATAATGAGGGTAGGACTGCGTTACACGGTGCTGCTTCCCAGGGTCATCTTGATGTCAACAAATATCTCATCGGTGCAGGAGCTGAGGTGAATAAGGCAGACATTAAGAGTAGGACTGCATTACACAGTGCTACTCGGGGGGGTCATCTTGATGTCACCAAATATCTCATCGGTCAAGGAGCTGAGTTGAATAAGGGAGATAATAAGGGCAGGACTGCATTATACGTTGCTGCTTTCAATGGTCATCTTGATGTCACCAAATATCTCATCGGTCAAGGAGCTGAGGTGAATAAGGGAGATAATAAGGGCAGGACTGCATTATACGTTGCTGCTTTCAATGGTCATCTTGATGTCACCAAATATCTCATCGGTAAAAGAGCTGAGGTGAATAAGGGAGATAATGAGGGCAGGACTGCATTACATAGTGCTGCTCAAGGGGGTCATCTTGATGTCACCAAATATCTCATCGGTCAAGGAGCTGATGTAAATAAGGGAGATATTGAGGGTTGGACTGCATTCAAAAGTGCTGCTCATGAGGGTCATCTTGATGTCACCAAGTATCTCATCGGTAAAAGAGCTGAGGTGAATAAGGGAGATAATGAGGGCAGGACTGCATTACATAGTGCTGCTCAAGGGGGTTATCTTGATGTCACCAAATATCTCATCGGTCAAGGAGCTGAGGTTAATAATGGAGATAATGAGGGTAAGGCTGCATTACCCAGTGCTGCTTCCAATGGTCGTCTTGATGTCACCAAATATCTCATCGCTCAAAGAGCTGAGGTGAATAAGGGAGATAATGAGGGTCGTACTGCATTACACAGTGCTGCTTTCAATGGTCATCATGATGTCACCAAATATCTCATCGGTAAAGGAGCTGATGTGAATAAGGGAGATAATGAGGGTTGGACTGCATTACACAGTGCTGCTTTCAATGGTCATCATGATGTCACCAAATATCTCTTCGATAAAGGAGCTAAGGTGAATAAGGAAGATATTAATGGTTGGACTGCAATTAAAAGTGCTGCTCAGGAGGGTCATCTTGAAGTCACCAAATATCTCATCGACAAAGGAGCTGAGGTGAATAAGGTAGATAATGAGGGTAGGACTGCATTACACAGTGCTGTTCAGTGGGGTCATCTTGATGTCACCAAATATCTCATCAGTCAAGGAGCTGAGGTGAATAAGGGATTAATTGAGGGTTGGACTGCATTACACAGTGCTGCTTGCGGGGGTCATCATGGTGTCACCAAATATCTCATCGGTAAAGAAGCTGAGGTGAATAAGGGAGATAATGAGGGTAGGACTGCATTATACTGTGCTGCTTTCAATGGTCATCTTGATGTCACCAAATATCTCATCTTTAAAGGAGCCGAGTTGAATAAGGGAGATGATGATGGAAGGACGCCTTTACACTGTGCTGTCGAGCATGGTTACCTTGGTGTCGTTAAAGTCCTTCTGGCAGGAGGAGCACGTTTTGACAAAGGAGACCAGTTCGGGCTCACACCGCTACACTTGTCTTCATTTTTCGGGTTCCAAGGCATCGCTGATCTATTCATTGACCGTTCAAATTCCAAGGTAAACATTTTAAAACACACATTATGTCGAATTTATCTTACTTGATTTATTCAATACATGCATGTAGAATAACAACTACGGAAAATCAATCATAAGTGAATATCAGGCATATCATTATTTTTTCAGAGATGACCAGCTCGATTTTGTATTACCAATAATATCCATACGTAATTATAGCAGAATATAACAGTAAGATTTCGATGCTGTTTTGTTTATAGACTTAATAGACAAGTTACAAAGCTTGCTTTAAACGTATTTGAATCATTATATTTAAATGATCACATGGCATTACTTGTGTTCACATAAATTTGGCTTTCTTAGCATTTCAACAAATAAAATCTCAAGTTTTCATGCTGCGTATTTTCTTATACCCAGCTCGCCCAGAATGATTCATCTGAAATCCATCTCGCCATCCAACACGGTCATACCTCCGTCATTGAGAAGTTAGTTTCTGAGGGAGCTGATCTCAATGTCCAGTCAACTGATGGTCAGACATGTCTCCACAAAGCCATTAAGCTCTGCTATAAGACCGATAGAATAGTGCAGGAAACCAATACACTAAAAAAAGTGAGTGTCACCAAAGCAACACCAACTAAACCGACACCAGACAGACGAGGGGCCGAACAACAAATTACATTTCGCCGAACGGGCGATGTCATGTCGTATTGCCCTAAAAGGCAGTCAATATTACTTAAACATATACAAAAATATACGAAATTAAACGAATATATTGAATGCATAACTAACTAATATTGGATTGATACAAAATTTTGAATGCATATAATTTTATACAGAAAATATACGAAATTAAGCAAGTATATTGAATGCATAATTAACATACATTAGATGCAGGAGGGCTACATCATAAACAAAGGAGCTTGCCCGCAGCCAATCAACTTAGATACATGTACAACAATAATAAGAAAGCAGAAAAGTAACTTGCATAGAGGAAAAGAAAAGGGGAGGAAAAGAGCGTTGTTTTTCTTTTAATACAATAAAACTAATACGTATGCTGATTGAATGCAGGTTCATTCATGGATGGGTAAACGATACTTGGTCATGGCCATGGGCAATTACACATAGTATTGGTTGAGTGTACAGTCACTCTACACACCAACATAAATATAGTAGAATGACACACGACATGATCAATACTAAGATTTCTTATTACAATGGGCAGAGAGTTCCAGCTGTCTGGGCCGGTGTGTCTAATGGATTTGAGAGCCAATACGGTTTTGGGATTTCTTAAATGGAATTTTTCAGTTTGCCTTGTAGGATAAATGTGGATGGTTTTTATCTAAATCCCTGATTATAGATTGATGACACTGGTCTAAAAATATTATATGTTACTTTGTATGTTTTAGATCTCTGATGAATATTACACGGGTGAACTATCTCCTGAAAGGGCCTTAGTGTTGTATCTCTTAGAGAATGGAGCCAAGCTAGATGTGAAGGATGAGACAGGCAACCTACCAATCCAGTATGCCAAGGACGAAGTGCTCAAACAGATGATTTTATGGAGGTGATTCTCTCAATTCTAAAATAACAGCATTGTCCCCGTCAGTTGTAAGGCAGAACATTTGTCAAAACGCAAGAAAATAATCCATATTTCTATTTCGTTTTTTTTTGAGATTTGGTAACGGAATGACATCTTAAGATAGAAAGTCTAGCTTTATTGTATATTTTAACAATTAAATATACAGCAGATGTGTTGTATGGCCAATAAATTGTACTATTTCATTATATTTCATGTTCCTAATTCACTCACAATTCAAAAGCACATACAAAATGAAATCATGGTTCCAAAATTGAGTTAACATGATATAAATGAATAACAAAATATTCATAGAGACAAACAGAGTTCAGTTATAGAGATGCAATACCTTCATGGAGAGAAGCAAAAATAACATCGATAGATTTGCAAGTAACTAAATAAATAAAAAGTGCATTCTTGTTTGAACAATCACCACCCCCCCCCCCCTCTCCCCCGCCCGCGCGTCCCAATCAGCAGGGGAAAAAGCTTCACCGTCCATAGCACTGCGCATAATGAAGACCAAGGAAACACACACACTTTTTTTCAATATTTTTTTTATTAGAGATTTCATAAAAATCAATGTAAATAATTCCATACAAATACAGATCTTTATTTTGTTTTCATAACAAAAATTAATTATTCACAAAACAGTGAGCAAAGAAGGAGAATAATGGAATGAAATAACTAATTTTTTTCTAATAATAATAATCACATACTGAACTTAATTATCATCATTCATGAAAAATGAAATAAAACTAGACATATAATACTTGTTTGGAACAAGTATAGGTGGGTGGGTCAACTAAAATTTGAGACAAAATAGAGCAAAAATAAGCGAGATACTGCTAAAAAGACAAGGTCATGTAGATTCATGATGTGAACGAAATTGATGATCATGATGATGATGGTCATGATGATGATGATGATAATAATGATGATCATGATGATGTCGATGATGATTATCATCATGATGATCATGATGATAATGATGATGATCATGATCATAGCGTGATCTTGACATCTTATTGAAGAAATGAGGGATGATTAAGATAGCATATAGTCCCAGCTATAACATATTCAAAAATCAACAAAATCAAAGCAGAAATAACGGCGTTATTGCTCGCAAAAGACAGGAATGTAGAATCTAGATTTGAGAAAAAGTCATCTCACATAGGGATTACACGCAAAAAGTAATGGATCAAGTGAAAATAGTGTAATAATAAAGTAAAGAGGGGTGTTTATTACATTTGTGATTATACGTGTTTTAATAATAAAAAAAGATGGTACAGTGAAAGGCCAAAAAGAAGGAAAAAAAAGGAAGAAAAAAAATCTTGGAGACGCCCGGACTCGAACCAGGGATCTCGAGGTAGGAAGTCAAATGCGTTACCGATATACCAAAACATTTCCCTTTGCGATTACACGTAAACGAAAAATGGAATTCTCAAATCCCACTTTACAAGTAAAATATGATCCCGGCATATGATCCCGGCATCTGATCGAAAAATAAAGGACACACCTATGATAGCGTATTGTCTCAGCTACAACATACTCAAAGCTCAGCAAAAACAAAACTAAAACGACGGAGATATTGCTCGCGAAAGACGGGAATGTAGAATCCAGTTTTGAGAAAAAGTCATGTCCTATAGAGAATACACGCAAAATGTGAAAAATTGACATGCCTCCTTTAATCCATAAAATAAGGCATGATGCCTTTATCAAAATGAAAAATGGTTATTATTGAGCTTGTAGAAAATTATTTTAGCTACAACATATCGAAATTTGGAAGAAAATCGATCAATATTTACAGAGATACAATCAATTTTCCATAAATATGCTGACGTCATAATATGCAAATTAGTATTTTTAGTTCGAAGGCCATTATGATGATGTGAAAAATATTTTTAATAGCCAAATGAGACATTAAATCATATTTCCGACTCATTCTCAATCTAAATATGAAAAAATATTGATGGTCCCGGTGCATTCCAAAGAGCTATAACGTATTTTGTATAGGCATGTTTTTGCCCATATATGCTATGTATTAAAAGAGCTCGCGCGCATGGACATTTATCTTGATTTGACGCTCATCTTGTTATTAATCGTCATAAAGAGATAATTATGGTATCAAATTGTTCGAAAAAATATGAGAAATATCATGATAAAAAAAAATGGCGATTCTATGTTGTCAAATGGTGAAACGCGCGAAAACGTATAGGCATGTATAGGCATGTTTTTGCCACTATATGCTATGTATTACAAGAGCTCGCGCGCACGGAAACTTTTGTTAAACGGTCGATCATTCCGTTTTTAATAGTCATAAAGAGACAAAAATGGTATCAATTTGTTTGTAAATTTTTTTGAAATATTATGAAAGAAAAAAAAATGGCGATTCTATGTTGTGTAATAGTTTTACGCGCAAAAACGCGCACGCATGCACGTGTGCGCGATTTTTTATAAAATGCTTAAAATTACCTGAAACGTATGCAAAAAAATTTTGAGACGATTTTGAGCATTTCAAAATTTTGCGCGCGCATTGACGCGCGGACGTACGCGCATGCGCGCGTTATTTGACCTGCCATTGACCGGACGGATATTGACCTTGATCATGATAAAAATGAATGAGAAATACCTTTTGGTTATGAAGATATGATCATGAGTTTATTTTCGTAAAATTTTACAAAATGGCGCCTAGATGACGTCATCAGTCAAGATCAAAGTTGAAAAAATTTCTGTGCTTTGTACATATGCCTATACATATGTGTGCTAAATTTCAAGGCATATGATCCAGCCATTTTCAAGTTATCTTGTCCACAAAAAAGTGGTTAGAAATAAGAAAAATAAAGAATAAATAAACTAGATTTGTAATACTTGTTTGGAACAAGTATAGGTGGGCTGATCCAACAAAAAATTGAGACAAAATAAAGGGTACATTTGAAATAGCTTTTTGTCTCAGCTACAACATACTCGAAGTTCAGCGTAAACACGAGAATGTAGAATCCAGTTTTGAGAAAAAGTCATGTCCCATAGAGAATACACGCAAAATGTGAAAAATTGACATGCCACCTTTAATCGCAAAAATACGCCATGATACCTTTGTCAAATGAAATATTATGTTGACTGCATTTGTAGAGAATTGTCTAAGCTAGATCATATCAAAATTTGGAAGAAAATTGATCATTATTTACAGATATACAGTCAATTTTCCAGAAATATGCTGACGTCATAATATGCAAATTGAAATTTTGAGTTTGGAGGCCATTATGATGACGTCATGAGTTAATTGAGGGTCAAATGAGACATGAAATCATACCTCCAACTCATAATCTATTTAAATATGAAAGAAATTGGGGGTTAACTATCAATTCTGAAGGGTTAAAATGAATTTTGTATAGGCATGTTTTTGCTCATGTATTGTGGATACAGATAGCGCAGGTCGGCGCGTGCGTTCAACTTTGACAGCCGCTAATTGCGGTATTACTGGTCGGAACAAGGTAAACAAGGTATCAAAATGCTTGGAAAAATTTAATAAATATGATAACAGAAAAAAATTGGCGATTCTATGTTGCAAAATGCCAGGACGCGCGGATACGTGCGGAAACGCGCGCGCATAAATACGCGCGCGCAAATTTTGAAAATGCTTAAAATGGCCTGAAACGTATGCAAAATTAATTTAGAACGAATTTGACCATTTTAAAATTTTAATGCGCGCGTACGTGTGCGTCGAGGCGCGCGCGCGGAACCAAATATGGTTGATTTTTGATGACTTGTTATCGAGATATGATAATGACCTGATTTTTACAAAATGGCGCCTGGATGACGTCACGATGACCCCATGAACTTGAAAAAGTTAATTAGACTTGAAATCATAGGGCTTGATGACTGACAGAAATTCAAAGGAAATTGACCATGTCGATTTCGAGTAAACGTGTACACAAAAAAGTGTACGGAAGAAATAAAAATAAAGAATAAAGAAATAAACTAGAATTTAAATCGTCACGAGGACGATTAAGGTGGTCTGTCTTCAAGTCTTATGATAGATTATAATATTTACTATATTGAGAAAGGGAGAAGTTATATAGACATGTAAACAATGATGATCATCATGATGATCAAGATGATGAAAATCTTGATAGTAATGGTGATGACGACGATGATGATGATGATGATGTTGATGATTATCATCAACAGACCATGATGACATCAGACTGAAAAAAATGAGAGAACATTTAGATAGTATATAGTCTCAGCTACAACATACTCAAAAATCAACAAAAATCAAGCCAAAATAAAGGCGATATTGCTCGCAAAAGACAAGAATGTAGAATCCAGATTTGAGAAAAATTCAACTCCCATAAGGATTACACGCAAAAAGTAATGGATCAAGTGATAATAGGGTAATAATAAACTAAATATGGTTGTTTATTACATAATTTGCGATTGTATGTGTTTTAATATTCAAAGGAGATGGTACAGTGAAAGGTCAAAAAGAAAAAAAAGTGAAGAAAAAAAATTGTTGGAGACGCCCGGACTCGAACCAGGGACCTCGAGGTCGGAAGTCAAGTGCGTTACCGATATACCAAAACATTTCCCATAGAGATTACACGTAAACGGAAAATGGAATTCTCAAATCCCACTTTGTAAGTGAAATATGAGCATGATCCCGGCATCTGATCGAAAAATAAAGGGCACACTTGTGATAGCTTATTGTCTCAGCTACAACATACTCAAAGCTCAGCGTAAACAAAGATAAAACGACGGAGATATTGCTCGCAAAAGACGAGAATGTAGAATCCAGTTTTGAGAAAAAGTCATGTCCCATAGAGAATACACGCAAAATGTAAAAAATTGACATGCCTCCTTTTATCGCAAAAAAAAGCCATGATACCATTGTCAAAATGAAATATCGTGGTTACTGCATTTGTAGATAATATTCTCAGGTAGAACATATCAAAATTTGAAAGAAAATTGATTAATATTTACAGAGATAC